TCTCGAAACGTGCAGGCGACAAGTTTGATGGCGACCTCGGTGCACGTGCGGATCGATACCATCAAGGCCTCCGATCCGGCGTGGACGGACGCGGACGAAGAGAGACAGGGAGGACCCGTGAGTTCATCATGCCTCTAGAGATAGCCAGTCCAGAACCAACTCGTAAGGAACACGTCCCAAAGACTGGTTTTTGCACACGATCCCATAAAACATCACAGCCAGAGCCAGCAAGAATGATGGGCTGTAAGTGTATGTGTTTTTGATCATGCTTTAGGCCTGTGCCTGTCCGATCACTTTGAGGATGTGAGGCTGCGCCAACTTAACACACATTCCAGGCTCTTCCAGCCAGTCTTTTCCAGGCTCCCCACCCGTATGCTGTCCGAACGCGGCCACGTCGCCGAACACGATGCTGTCCGAACATCGACGCCGACAGGACGTGGACATACCCCGAACGGAGTCCATTTCGGGGGAAACAGATGGAAACTGAGACAGCAGAGACTGAAACCGTACCGGTTAATCCGGAAACGGAAGAATCTGGAAACCGCTCCCTGGTGACTATCCAACCCCAAAGAACTAGAAAGAAATGGTTGTTCCAATATGGCAAATATGATCCTTTACATTCCTTTGCATAGGAAATGGCTGTTTGGGGAAACATACATTTCTTTCTGGTTGTTTGGGTTTCCAGGATATAGTTCCTGTCCTGTCCCACTCCGCCGGCAGGGCTTGAGGGTTCAAGAAATACGCGACGTGCTGGCGAAAGGCGGGGCGGTGCATACGCGTCATACTACGCGCATACGCAAGCATACGTGGTGATGGACGATGGGGACCTTTTTTGGCAAAGAAGAGATGTGGGACAGTGGTGTTTTCTTTGCAGAGGGTGTGCAGCCTTTCGAGATTTGTTTGGAATTGCTTTGGAGAGGGACGACTGAGAAAGTCTTAGTTTTGCGGAGGTAGACTCGGTAGACTCTTGAAAAACACCTCGCAATGTGGATATAAATAACAGACTCTTCATATGGGGGGTTTACTTAACCAAGAATCAAGAGCCTACATGGTCTCTTTTTTTCCGAATGGCGAGGCGAATTGTGGCTGATCACCAAACACAACGAGAGTGAGGCACACTGTTGCGAGCCTTCGTGCTGCTACGTCTTCAATTATGATATGGGCTTGACTTCGGGGCTGGGAAATTTTTGAATTGCACAATCGTGCTTTTGAGATGCAGTTTTTTTGGATTCTTTCAACCCCAAGCTCGCAAAATACCACCGACAGAGCGAGTAGGAGTAGTTGTTCAACCGCAGTACGGAAAAATCATTATCTTTTTTGACTGCAAATCAGTATGTTTTGAATTGACAAGTATTTTGTTCTATACAAATGGATTCTTTTGAGAACAAATCAAGAGTGAGAGAGAGAGAGAGAGTAGGACGCAGACAGCATCAAAAGACGACAGAACACCTCCAAGCTGACGAAAAGCAAAGCCAAAGAAGCAGCTGAAGACGGGAAGCGACTTGAGAAGCGCGTTGCTGCCAAGCCAAGCCAAGCAAGTGTTGCTGCTTCGAGAAGAGAGCAAGTGTTACACTTTCCCGACATTCAACCAACGATCAATCCCAGAAGCCACACAAGCTTCGGCAGGTCTTTCGAACACATCAAATATATAACCCGGCAACATCCACCAACATTTTCCTATCACCCATCACCATTTCGGAGTGCCATTTCTGGGAACAGCACCAAAAGCTTGTTGTTTGGTGTGTTCGGGGGGAGGGCGGGGAGCGCCTCCCCCCAACACCCCCTCCCCAGCCACACATCTGAATATATTTCCAATTTTGTGCCTGCCACAAAATGGTCAAAGGGCATCCAACCAACAATTGCCACACACGAACTGACAACCACAAAAAAGTCCGCCTTGCAGAAAAAACAAGATTGACAGACAGTTGCAATCGCTTTTCAAGTTCACAAATCATGTGTTAAAAAAAATATATATCCATATATCCATATACTGCTTTGAACAGAAATAGATTGCTGACAACAAGAATATCGTGTATCCTTTTTCAGGCTTGAGGCGCAAGTACAATATTTCGTTGGAGTTCACCCCAAGACACTTGGACCTGGGGGTTCAAAAAGCTCAAATAATCACAAGTTCTTGAAAAAATGATTCGAGCTTCAACCATGCCTTGCTCCTAACTTCATCTTCACCCTGCAGTAAAAGATCGCACATCATCGAATCATACGCCTTTCAGCTAGCCAGCAAAGACGGAGACCATCGCAAAACCAAATTGCCTAACTTGGGAATCTATAGTTGACCATTGGCCGCCAGAAAAGAAGATAGTGGTTCCAAGGTATCTGAGATCTTAGGCCTCTCCGCACATCCCCACAGTTTAGTGACCTTTCCTAGACGCAGAGTTCCGGGCCAAAAAATGGGCCAGGCATATGTGGGCCGCGCATCGCACAAGAAGTTGAACAAGCAGCTAGCTGAGTCAAACCCTTTTGCCTCAATTTATTTGAGGGCCAAGTTTATAACACTTCCCCAAGAACATCCATCAGATGACTGTCTTGGGGTATGTGAGCATCAGCCAGAAGTTCCAAATCCTCGATCTGGGCCTAACACTCAGAGATGCCAGATTCCTCCCATGCTCAACTGCCGGAAGAGGCTCAACTGCGGAAGAGCTTGTGAAGCCCGTGAATGCACACGAAGACTGCCGATGAGGTTTCCTCCGTGAGAGCAACCAGCGGTGAGAACGATGAGGGACTTGTGGCTGAAAAGGGCTCCGCTTGCTTCGACCGCGTTTGGCCTATGAATGATTCTTCGCTGATGCAAAGCATTCCTGCGAGCTCCAAAAAATGGGGGCATGGTCAAAAAATGCGTAGAGGGACAGGAGATGGGCCACAGGGTGTTGTTGTTCACTCCGAATTCAGACCTTTCAGTCCCCTTTCGCCACCGATCTCAGGGTGTTCCACGGTGGTTCGGGGTTTCGCTGATGTCCCGGATACGTATTGAAAACATCCGTTTTTTGACCATGCCTCATCCGTCTTGCTGAGTCCGGAAAGAGGTTGGAAGAATGGTGATTTTTGTGAGGATTGTACAACATACACGACGATTTCGTCACCCGTAGCAAATAGCGGTGTCTAAGACCCCTGTTTGACAAAAAACGCCCAATCTATATAAATGGTATCTCACGATTTAAACAATCTGTTTGAGGTCAAGACACCCCATCTGTGGGTTGTTGTGGAAAGGCAAGGTCCTGACTCAGACTCGAGTGAGCGTGTTCACTCGATTTGATATCCACTGAGTGGACGTGTTCGGGTTCCAAACGAACCCAGTTTTCCCATGCATCGTGCCCACACGGCTTCTTCACATCGTTCCTGAACATGAAACATCGTGAAACATGACTCTGCAAAGCTTGGAAACCTGTGATTCGAATGAAGATGTTTTATGTGGAATACCTACAGCCTCATCTACAAACACGTGCCGTTGTTGGATGGTCTGCTTGCCGCACTCCTCATTCAGGGGGAACCCCCCCACCCGTTCGGAGTATGCAAACAGCCAGAAGTGGCAGCAATCTTACAGGCAGAAGTGAAACTTTTGCGTTTGTGGCCACTTATGTGGCTCTGTGCGCCACAGCCCGGGATGGGCTCAAATATGCTCAAATCAAGGGATGGTGAAAATCCTCCGAAGTCGTCATGAATTGGAATCCATTGGATGGAGATAGGGGTGCTCGAATGCCAAATCACTGAAAAGGAGTAGTCATGAATTAGTCCCCTCGCCTATGTTTTTGCTGGAAGAGTGTACTTGTGACATTTTTTCACTATCCGTGATGTAATCTTGACCTTGGACCGTGGGCATGTGGCTTGACTTTCCGACCGTCCGAATTTCACGACCCCATCTCTGTGGGGTCCACGCTTTATCGTAAAAAAAAGGACCCAACACCACACTCTGTCGCTCTGCTCACTCTGTCGCTCTGCTCACTCTGTCGCTCTGCTCTGCTGCAATGCTCTGCTCTGCTGCAATGCTCTGCTCTGCTCTGCTCTGCTCTGCCCTGCCCTGCCCTGCCCTGCCCTGCCCTGCCCTGCCCTGCCCT